GCTGTCCCCTTGGATTGTGACAGGTTCCAGCACCGCAGAGATGTCATGGCCCCTGGCCAGCAAACTAACGAAGACAGGTTCCTGGCTTGCGCTATTGGCGAAACTTGATAGAATAAATAAAAAGGTCCTGGGTGCCAGGAGTTGCCCAATGTAAAATGCTGGACAAAGTGTTTCTGGTTTTTCTGCCTGGGGCTTGAGGTACCCTTGTTAAGTCTGTTGTTCTTGACGGAATTGCTGATCGTTTTGCAGGAGCATGACAGAACACAGACTGGCAGAGGTGTGTGTGCCATGTGGGTGTAGGAGATCTCACAGGGCTGCACTCTTGGGGCTCCTCATGATGGTGGTCAGACACATGGTTTGTTCAGGCTTTGGTGAACAGCATTCCCTTTGAACGAGCCTCTCACTGGCACTGGAACATCTTGGACCTGAAGGGCCAGGTCTGTAGTTGTGAGAGCTTCCTAAAGCAGAGGAGAGGAAATTGCGTGGCGGGAGCAAGGCAGGACCTTGCCTGCCGTGTCTTCTCCCGGACCGCTGTGGAGGCGCATCGCTCTTTGTTTTGCTCTTGTGTTGCTAAAATGCAATGCCTCAATTTTCCATGTCTAAAAGGAGCGTTTTTGCCCTGTTTTTAGGGTGATACTGTAAAATTTCTTGCGGCCAGTGTCTACAGAGCTCATGTAATTGTGTAACATGGCACGTTATGGATAAATGATAATATGCAAACTGATCCTGTATATCAAGAACTTTAGCAATATTTAAATACGTGGGACAATTAGAAAGCTGGGCCAGATTTCACAATCCATTTTACTTTTAGAAACACCCTGCAGGCTCACCAGAAATATTATAAAAGTGCTCAGAGCTCGTGTCTTGCTTCATTTTTATCAGTATTACAGAAAGTGCACCATTTGTAGGTGCATCCATCTGTGTATTTGTCTGCATTAAGGAATTCCTGGCTGCTCCCGAGCAGCAGATTTTCCTGTGTTTCGTCCTTGAAAGGAGCCCGTGGCAGCCCATCCATCCATCAGCGATGGATCGGCCCCACGGCCGGGTGCGCGTCCCTTGACGGGAGGTGACCCGGGCGGGGAGGTGACAGCGGGCGGGGAGGTGATTCAGGCCCGCA